ATCGCAGTAGGAGCCATCAGCTGGAAAAATCTAGCCGCCAAATGCAGAAAGCAAATCTTCATCAGGTGCACTCGCTCGTCCATGCATGGTGAAGCGACGCTGATCTGCTTCAGGAACTGATTCGGCATTAGGCGATGATTGGTCGCTGCAGGATTTAACGAAGCGAGAGCTTCCACGATGGCTTTCTGCAGTTGCAGAACAACTCGCCACCCCAAAGCGATACCTCAGGATGGATTAGAGAAGGGTCAGAGCTTGCACAAGGTATTGCCGCATGATACGCTTGCGTCGGCTGTTTTTGTGCAGAGGTGTGAAATGAGGGTGCTGAGCAAGTCTAGGCTTCTGATCTTCAGCGCTGCACTGCTGAAGCTCCCTGACCATTGCAGTTCCTCGTACATCGCAGTTCCGCTTGACTGCTGTAATCCAGCTTTGGAGACGGATGCATCCTGTGTTGCTTGGGGTATGCCGGCTGGCGCAACTCTGCCAAAGCCGTGACCTCAAATGCCGCATCAACAGCACTTGCAGAATCCCGCCTGTCTGCAGTATGCAAGGCAAGCTGGGGCTCTAGGATGCAGATTTCCGCCTTAAGCATCCTCGACTACTCTCCTCGTTTGTGGAACCCGAAGCCAAGGAAGCCTTGGCATGTATGGTGTTGAAGTTTAGGGCGTAAGGCTTGCAGGATGCAGGTACCAACATCCTTTCAGCGCGGCTGGGGTCTGAAATGTGCGGAAAAGACCTATCTTCGGCCTTCGAAGACCCAGGCTCCTGGTCAGACCTCCTAAACCCTAAACCCTTCATCGCGGATCATCAGAGAAGAGGTCCGATGCTCTGGACAGTAAGGCTAGCCTTCTTATGTCGTGTCAACATTCTGGAGTGCGTGTGCATGTCCTGAGCACATCGTTTTGAGTTTAGGGTTTGGGGCTGAGGGCTTTCCACGACCCTGAGGGGAGCAGGGTAAGATCCTAAGGTCCTCCTGCCTTTCTTGCCGCCCTTCTTGTGGCTTTGGCTTTGATCATGGAATATGAGACTTGCCACTACTTCCAGCGGTGGAAAACATTCAAGCATCGCATCTCCGATTCCCTTAGACTGCGGGACCTTGACAAGCATCGACCATCTCCCCGCTTCAAAGAAACATCATAAACACAGTATAGACCCTACAGCATCCTACAAATGCACCACCACATCTCGAAAATTGCAGTGCCATGTTCTTAAGCCAACTTCGAAGGCTGTGTTCAAGACCGTGTCGCTGTTCGCGGCAGCGCTCAGGAAAGCTTCCAGTGCCACAACCACGGTCTTGGCCGAAGTTCTCGTCAGCTTCAGCCAGCTGTCATCCTGAACATGCCTCCCTAGCCCTAGCCCTAGACTTGCAAAGCAGAGGCAACAAACCTCAAAGAACTCGATACTTTGTCAGCCCTTAAACCCTGAAAGGACCTTAACTCTACATCCCCAACCCATAAAAACTGCATCCGCAAAGGCGGCGGCCCTGAGAGGGTGATCTGCTCGGCTTCCATATGGCCTTGATGGAAGCTGCAGTCGCAGTACCGTCTGCTGCTTTAAAGGTGTAGGGCCTTCAAGGCTTAGGGTGTCGAGGTGTAGGGAAGTTTAGGGCTAGGGGTTTACGGCTCGGGGCTTTACCAGACACTCGACAGACTCGGGCGGGATGCTCGAGTCGGAAGATAGGCTGGATGTTTCGAATCAGTGCGACCCTGGTCGGTTCCCACACTGCGCAGCAACGGAGCTTGCCTTGTCAGGCTCAGGTCACGGTGGTCAACTGCGGACATCTAGTGCCGAAGGGAACAGACCCAAGTACTTGCTAGGGCTAGGGCTTTGTATGGCCCTGCACATATTTGGCTACTGTTCGGAATGCGCAAGTACCTCGCCGGAGTTGTTTTCACGGTGCCTGCAGAGGTATCCCGCATTGGCAGTTTCAGCTTTGCAGCTGTTCTCTTCACAGATACACCGCACGAATCCGATCTCCAGGTGCTGCACGGCTTAGCGTTAAGCGCCTCCCAAACTCCTGAGGAAGCAGCAGAAATCCCGGCGTGCATCCTGGAGGTACTCGCGATAGCCGTATTAGTATTGGGATGCAAACGCCGGCACCTACAAACTTGCCAGATAGTCGAGTTGACATGCTGAGGCAACTGGACTCGAGAAAAATGAACTCGAAGCTGTCTTTCCTTAACCGTGTGGCATCTGTAACCGCATGTCACCCATACACAAAGCAGGACCGGCACAGACCCGACCGGCAAACTCCCTTGTTTTCCAACGGTGATTAGTTTACAGCTGCAGGCGAAAATAAGATGATGCGAAGGCGTGTGCATCGCAGTAGAGAGCGAAACTGCAGAGTCTGTATCTTGCCAAATGGAGGCAGGTGCCGCTATCTTCTCAGCGCTCGTGTGATGCCGTGGCGCTACAGCAATGAAGCACCAATGGCTTAATGCCGAACCGTCGACTTGAGTAAGTCGTCGTCGCTCATGATGTTGTGCTGTTATGCTCTTGTAATTAGGGGCCTGAACGCGTCTGGCATGTGCCGTCCTGCTGCAAAAGGTGCTCCTCGCCACAACCTTTTGACCGAAGCCACAGTCTTGAAAGGGCAATGCTGGGATGCCCCATAACAAACGCATGGGCCTTGCTGGGCTTTAGAGTACGGGTCTGTGCTCGAAAGCACCCGCAACATTGATTGTGGTGATTGCACATGATCTCTCCACTTTCTTCTGAAGCCTTGGTTGGGCATCGTCTTCAGGACGAAAGCAAGCGCATGCATCGGCACATGCAACGCTGCCGCTGCTCGCTTCAAACGCTCCATCGACCACGACTCCAGTGCAACAACTTCTGGGAAGACCGTCGACAGAGGCGAAGATAGATCGCACAGAACCTGGGATCTTGCAGCGATTGTCTCTGCATTCTACAGGGCGATGGTGCATTTGCAAAAGTCCGTGAAAGTGAGCGCTTGTGTTGTCAGCTGGCGGGCCTCTCACCACATGTACTGCAGCCTTCGAGGGAAGTTGGAGGGAGGAGCGGTATGTGATACATGTCATAGAGTGAGAAAAACATGTGTAGCTGAATTCAGCTTTACGGCACAGCTACATAAGCTTTTCGCTGCAGCTGGATCACTACTGGCTCAAGCACTGCCTCCCAAGGCAGAGATGTTCATGTTTATTCTGTGAAAACCTTGACCAAGAGTGAAAGCTGCAGCAGATCGAGCTGTGAGGTCAGCCGGAATCTCAGTCATGGACCAGGACCCTCCACAACACGGTTCATGGCCCCAGGGTCTAACACTTACCTTTGGTTAGTAGGGAATGGAGGAATGGGGTACAAGTATGACTACAATTACTACCATTCTTCCATTCCCTACTAACCAAGGGTAAGAACAGAGGCTAGAAGGATGATCTAGAGAAGCGAGGTTGAGACTTCACACTTCTACCCTCCACCACTCTTGCAGACATGCGTGCCTATTCTCTGCAATGTAGACTCTGTAGACCTGTTGATATGGTTTGGGCTCCTAGACCACACAAACACACACACACACACACACACACACACACTATTACAGTCACTGTTAGACCATGCTAGGCTACTAGACCCAACATGCCTACTAACAGGGGCCATATGCCAGATACAAATTTCACAGTTCCTGCTATCGTGGGGCCATAAGCCTTTTTATACCTTCTACATAACAACCATGTGATTCCCACTATCAGGGGCCATATGCCCTTATGATGCCTACAAGAAGGGGCCATATAACCTTACCATTAATTCCAAAATCATGGGCCATATACCCTTAAGTTGAAGGTGCGGAGAACGTCTCGGTTTATTGTGCAATAACCCTAAACCCCTAAACCCTAAGCCCACAATATCCATGGTTCCCGCATCCTTGCCTTCTAAGGGCATTCTGGTCTTAAGGTTTAGGATGCAAAAGAGGGTTTAGGGTTTACAGTAGAAGCCAGAAAGTTGGAATATCATTATCCTAACCCCTTTAAGGTAAATTATGGGGGATCCTACCATTAATCCATATTCCAACTTTCTGGCTTTTACTTTAGGGCTTAGGGTTCAGGGCGAAGTCTGTGATATAGATAATTACCAAAACTACCCGTATTTTGGTGCTTCCTTACTAGAAGTATCGTATAGTAGACCCCACGACCCTATTCCAATAATTAAGGCTCCTACATTATTTTGGGCCTGAAATGTTAGAATACTCAGAGCTATGAGGTATACTCCTTTCCTCCTTACAAAGGGACTGTAAGGGTATACTTTCCAGAGTGACATTCCCCGCGTAATCGGCATATTGCCCGACGACCCACTAAGGAGGGTGTAGAATAGCTGAGAAATACTCCCCAGAATACGAAATATGGGGGTCGGAAGAACTGACGGAAATCGATATTGGTTCTCTGTTATAGCTGGAGTATTTTGGACCGCATATCCTGGATTATAAGGCCCATTTTCAGAACAATGCATGTTGTGACGCCCAATGCGGCAGACCCTGGCCGATGTGTTCCAGAATGCGTTAACCCTAAGGCAATGAGGGTCCATGTCCCTAAATAGTATATACTTATGTAGGGAGTACGTTAAGGCCAAAGTAGATACTATTCGGGTGGTTGTCAAAATTATGGCCCTTTGTTGGGTCCCTGTTATAGTGCGGCACCTAAGGTTTAGGGACCCTAATTTTGATAACTACCCATTTGGGTACATGGACCCTTTAGGGGTTGCTGCACCTCGCGCCAGTCCGACATGTGGGGGAGCCTCAGAATGGGAGTTTCCGAAAATAGGGGGGGTACCTTATTTGGGGGTCCTTATAATAAGGATCCTACGGGTACTATATAAGGGTCCCCTATCTTCGGAAACTCCCGTATCTGCTTGCGTTACCATAGGTTCCTGGCGACCAAACTGACCCAAAGCAAGGAGCACGTCGGCACCCTAAACCCCTAAACCCCATGGAGTCTCGACGTGAAGCTTAAACGGTATGGAGCCATGAGGGAGTTCCGAATCTGCCCCCGTCTGAGGCGATGCACCATGCTTGGCTGCTGGCACTGGTCCGGTGCTCGGTGCGTAAACCCTAAACCCTAAACATGGGATTAACATGGGATTTAGGGTTTCAAGGTTGATCCGGCTTAGCACTGCAGACGCGGAGCTATTTAGGGCTTAAGGCTTCAAGGCTACGGGACGAGACTGAACCTTGGAAAGTCTGTTTCGGCCAGGTCGCACTTCGAGCAGTGGCTTTGAGAGAGTCTGGCGTTGAGGCTGCTCGGCGTTATCGGTTGTGGGGGCAGCTCGGGCACGAGAAACCTGTGCAGGAAAACCTCGACGTGGATGAACCGCGGAGTGGTTTACAGGATGAGTCACCCGTCGCTCGGTTTTCCAGTGTGCCCTTTGTGGGCCAGTATTTGCTACGAATCCAACCGTATCTTCACCACACCTGCTGTCAATGCCATTATTTGCCATCAATGCTCTACGCACACTCTAAGTCATCCAAATGGCTTGCGATGATCCGAGGTGAACCCGGTTGATGCTGCATCCAAAGCACGAGCAGCTGAGATGGAAGCCTTGCAGAAGGCTGTTTCAGCGTGCTGCATCTGTGGAGTCCAGATTTTGGGTTGGGGGCTCACCCTGAGAGCCCAATATTCCTTAATGAAGAAATATACCTTAAACTATTAGGGGCTTCATATTATCATTTAAGGCATATTCCTTCGTCAAAGGGTATTGGGCCCTGAGGGCTTAGAGGTTAAAGTTCAGGGTGGCAACCTACTTACCTCACTCGCTCGGTGCAGGCGCAGGATTTGGAAAGACTTGCAGCAGTGGCCGAGCTCCACGTGATGGACCATTTTGCTGCTTGCAACCCGCAGCTGCTGCCCAGAGAGCCCAATACTCCTTAATCAAGGAATATAGCTTAAATTATAATATGAAGTCCCTAATGATTTAAGTTATATTCCTTAATTAAGGGGTATTGGGCTCTCTGGGTGCCTGTACCAGTGCATGCAGACGGCAGAATCTCCAGACTGCACTCTGTACAACACGATCAACTTCTAGTTCTTGTCAGTCAGCCTGGCAGGAGGAAAGAGATGTTGCAATGCAGCCCGGGCATCATTTCATACAAGCGCTGCTGTTTGTTCCGTCGCGTGGTGATTTTCGTGGAGCATTGCAGGGGTTGTAGCGTCGTGATGCAGCCTTGCCATCTAAGTCGAGCCGAGAACGAAGTTGCAGGGGGACGGCATGCCAATGCAGTGGGACAGAGTCCATCAGGTTCGCCTCCACAGGCGCGGGAATCCAGTATTGTGTTCATGTTGATGCTTCCGCTTAATTTGCTGTATCACTGGCCACTCCAAGGCGAGTATCTTCCCAGCCTCACCTGGCACGGCCGTCGAAGCAACCACAACTAGCACCACGGCAACGACCACTACTTCGAAGAAGGACGAAGAATTTGAGGATGACGACGGTCCGGTCCAACCAGTGTTGGTCGCTCCACGACAACAGGTGGAGGTCCACCAGACATTTCCCTCCATCAATTACAGACATGCTGGAATACACCAGCTACCCCAGCCCCTAGAGATTACGTCCGAATCTCATTCAGCACCCGTACCTATCCTTCACGCCACAGTGGAGGAAGTTCGGGCCAAAACCAAAACCACGACGAGCACCACTGCTACCACCGTCACCACCGAGGAAACGAGCAGCTCAGATGAAGATGAGGACGAGTCCTGGGAAGACACTTCCAGATCGACCACGGAAGAGGCGACAGGCAGGCACCCAGTAGGTGCAGGTACCGAGCATCGCCGGATGCTTGAGACCTCCACAACAGAGGTCGAAGCAGACTTCGAGGAAGAGTCCGAAGGAGGTGAAGAAAGCACATCTCTGGCCGTGGCACTTGAAGCAAAGCCAAGCGTGGCAGAAACAACCACTGAGGAGGTTTGGGAAGCACCTCAGACTTCATCAACTGAGGTTGCAATCTCTGCAGTCAGCACGACTGAAGAATTGCAAGTTGAAGATGTCGTTGAGGACGTGCGCTCAGCAACATCGACATCCACGTCGGAGGAGGAAGAAGACGATGACTTCACGGACTTCGGCGATGATGGAAGTTCAAGCACCAGCGGTGCTGCAACCGAGAGCCCGTCAACGACAAGAACTTCTCCGGAAGCGGCCACAAGGTTGAAGAAAGTTGACGACGAGGACGAGGACATGCAGATTAAACCAGTGGTCGTCGTTCCAGAACAGGTGGAAGCTCACCAGACATTCCCGTCTCATAACTTCAGACATCGTGGAGGACACCAACTACCAGAGCCCCTAGAGATTCATTCCGAGGTTCATTCAGCACCCATGTTTCACTCCGCAGTCGATGAGATGCCAGCCACAACTGCGACAACGACGAGCACCACCGCCACCACAAGCACCACGACTACCACCACTACGACGGAGACCACAACTACCACAACCTTGACAACTGCTACTACCACGACGACGACCACAACTACCAGTCCCTCAACAACTACCACCACTGCCACCACCACCACGACTACTACCACGACCGCGACAACTACCGAGTCCACAACAACCACCACAACAACCACGACCACGACAACTACAGAGTCCACAACAACCACCACAACCACCACGACCACGACAACTACAGAGTCCACTGCCACCACCACTACGACCACGACCACGACAACTACAGAGTCCACAACAACCACCACAACCACCACGACCACGACAACTACAGAGTCCACAACAACCACCACAACAACCACGACCACGACAACTACAGAGTCTACAACAACCACCACAACCACCACGACCACGACAACTACAGAGTCCACTGCCACCACCACTACGACCACGACCACGACAACTACAGAGTCCACAACAACCACCACAACCACCACGACCACGACAACTACAGAGTCCACAACAACCACCACCACGACCACCACCACGACAACTACAGAGTCCACAACAACCGCCACTACAACCACGACCACGACAATTACAGAGTCCACAACAACCACCACAGCTACCACGACAACGACAGAGTCCACAACAACCACCACTACGACCACGACAACGACCGAGTCCACAACAACCACCACTACGACCACGACCACGACAACTACAGAGTCTACAACAACTACCACAACTACCACGACCACGACAACTACCGAGTCCACAGCCACCACCACTATTACCACGACCACGACAGCTACAGAGTCCACAACAACCGAGTCCACAACCACCATCACTACTACCACGACCACGACAACTACCGAGTCCACAACAACCGCCACCACGACCACGACAACTACCGAATCCACAACAACCACCATTACGACCACGACCACGTCAACGACCGAGTCCACAACAACCACCATTACTACCACCACGACCACGACAACGACCGAGTCTACAACAACCACCATTACTACCACCACGACCGCTACAACGACCGAGTCCACAACCACCATCACTACTACCCCGACCACGACAACTACCGAGTCCACGACAACCTCCACGACGACCACGACCACGACAACGACCGAGTCCACAACAACCACCACTACGACCACGACAACGACCATCACCACCAGCACTACTACTACTACTACCACCACCACCACCACCACTACTACCCCAACCACCACGACAACCCCGACGTCCACCACCACGAGCACGACAACTTCAACTACCGTCAAGGCTGCCAAGGCCTGGCAAGAGCCTGCAGAGTTGCATAATTGTCGTTTTTCGATGTCGTCCTTTGTGTAGCGACCGAATCTTGCTTCTTGCTTTGTTTCTTGATGCGGCTTCCCTGTGCAGGAGAAACTTCCGTTCAGCTTTCCTCTGCTGTACCGCGGATGGTACAACTGTCCTCAGGGAAAGACATGGCTTCAAATTCAGGCTACTGCGTGGCCGACGGCATCTATACATTTTAGCCCAGACGCAAAACAACACCAGCACTGCGCGGGAACCTTTGAAGCCACCGGAACATTCGATCGCAAAACAAGAAACCTCCACTTCCAACCTACTGGAAGATGGCTAGGTGCGAACCCTTGCAGATATAGTTCCATTCCGTTCACTGGCGTGGTCTCGCCGGATGGACGCACCTATACAGGAAAGGTTGCATCTCCAGAGTGTGGAAAGTTCACACTGATCAAAGCCCGGGCCTTGCGTTTGGTTTCTTGTGCGAGCGACTGTGCTGATCCGTAAGCCCAAAACCTGAAGCCAGAGCAGCAGCTCAGGTGAAAGGATGAGGCCACAACAGCCACATTGGCAAAGGCCTGCTGAGTTTGCGTCACAGAGACGGCCTTGCAAAAGCAAGGTCTGTGAATCTATGCGTGAAATATTGAGGAAGTGAGAGGAATTACGCGACATAACACCCCGTGAGTCATGCAACTCGTCAGCAACAGATACTAACCTTGGTCTGGATATGATTTATTATGAGAAAGAGTCAGAGAACGGATCATATGCAACAACTTGAAATTAGGTAGGTCGAGACTATTCGGAAAGATGTCGAAAGATCATATAATGGAGTAACCATAGAAGACGAGACAGGATTGATTAATAATTATGCCTCTCTAGAAATTTATGAAAGCACAAGGTGTAATAATAGTTCTAACATCCAAATCAATCATTCAATGAAGGGTAAACAGATAATGTATAAACAAGACATTTGGTAATAAGTACGATACAGGTTTAAGTAACAAAAACCAAAGAGAAAAGTTGGAAATGAGTACGAATTATCATCGATATTATCAGGATTTCGAGATGATAGAATTTTGATAAGAATGATTAAGATGATATTAAGCATATTCTTAAGAGATATAAATCAAAATGTTATCCTTATGGTTAAAGGACCTGATAATCCCACATGACCAGTTTCTCCCGTATGCCAAATGGGTCCTACGCGCGTGTGTGTGAGTGTGAGTGTGTGTGTGTGTTTGTCTGGCTGTAGGTGCGTCTGCGTGGGTGTGGGTGGGTGTGGGTGTGTGTGCGTGCGTGCGTAGCAGTGCGTTTCATGCGCTGTTTGAGGATCTTTTTTTGTGTGCGTGCATGTGCGTGCGTGTGTGGGCGATCAAAATTCATACCCAAAGGCGCGGCACGCCGAACCCTAAAAGAGCTTTCTAGATTCAACGTTTAGTCGTATTATAATCTTCTGGAAGGGGGTCTCCCAAACGAGCATTGTCTCCCATCGAGTCTTCTCGAGATAGCGTTTAGTAGTGTCTTTTATCTTCTAGAGTCGTGATGTGTCTGTACATATATTGTATGATACATTATATGCGGCGCATTATGTATAGTTTATTCTTTGATATCTGATATATATATATATATATATGATATGATATATATATATATATATAGTATATTAATGAGATACTGGAGAATCTTCTAGATTTAGCGTCTGCTCGAATATATCTCCTTAGGAGATATCATATCTCTAAGAGATATTTGGATTCATTATCGAGTCGTGGTTGTAAGAATTTTCTAGAGAATCTCTAAGAAATGTATTTAGAATCTATATCGAATCGTATTATAATTTGGCAGATTAAGGATCTTAATTATATGAATTTTTTTTCAATGAAATAATAATATTCAAAATTTAATTCATTTATATTATTTTTCGGATAGGTTTTGATTATTTTTTCAAAAATAATATTATATATAAGATACGAAATATCGGAAGATCTATAAGATAAGATATAGAATTCATATCAATTCAAAAAATTATTATATATCTTTGATATGAAGATATTCTATATTAGATAGCATTTTTTTAGGTATTCCAAGAAGATTATAGATATGATAGATACGGTTCGTAATCCAGAAACTTATTATACGTAATATCATATAGTATCTTCTAGATTCAATATTTGATAATATTCGTCTCGATCTGATCGAAACGATCAGAGATTTCTTATTCGAATTCCCCCTATTTCTCCCTCTTCTTAAATTCTTCCCCAGTGACCCAGGCCCTCCGGGCGGCACCGGGCGGGGGAGGAGGACACCCGTCCCGCCCTAAAAATCGAAACCTATAGATGAGACCCAAAATCTACGTCGAATTCCCGTCATCTTCAATTGATTTTCCATAGGTCTTCTCCAATTAATTCTCCGTAGGCACCTATCTCCCCCCGATTTCCCCCGCTTTCTTACCTCATCTTCCCCCTCTCCAATCTTCCCCCCTGAAGCTCCATCCGTTGCTGCTACGACTTGTGCAAGACTCTGATATTGAATCTTGCGAGCTCTCGACTACAAATTTTATAGATTCGGAAATTTTGCCCGAACGAATATGAAATCGATACCGCCATTGAGGAATATATAGCGAAGAATGAGGACTTAGATTTGAATGATGAGATTTTGAATTAAATATCTTAGGAATAAGTCAATATAAGATAAAGAAGCTCAATCAGAATATCTCATCCAATCCTAAGAGTCGGGAAAATAAATGAAAAAGATATCATTTAAAATTGAATTTTAGGGTTTGAGACTCCTTCAAGGACGTCTTCAGAAAACGTTTGTTTCCGTTACGACCGGATCAAGGCGGACGACGCGAAATAATTAAATTATAATCTTCTGAAAAGAAGAGATTGATTTCAAATTTAAATCATATCTTTAAAATTCTTCAAAGCTTAATATTTTCGTATTTTAATCGTCTGGATCGTAGGGAGAAGAGATCGGATATGCGTCGTATTATATATCATCTTATAGATTCAATATATCTTTATTTTATTTTTTCGAAGACGAGGGGGGCTCCGGACGAGCGCCATATCTTATAAAATCTTATAGGATCGAAGAATTCTCTATATTGAATATTTAATCATATCAATATCTTCCGAGGAAGGATTCGGAATCGTGCGTCGTATCCCGCAGACGTTAGTACGCTCTAGAATATATTTTTAATTATTCTTCCGGAAGGGGGTCCCGTATAATCTCTAGAATCAGTGGTTAGTGGCGTTTATAATATATCGGAATTATGATAGATCTATAATCGTTTTATATTCTTCTGGAAAGAAAGAGATTTTGGGAAAAAGAAATATTTCAAATATTCGTCATATTCCGTAGAATCTCCTAGAATCAGCATATAATCGTATTTCAATGATCCAAAGGAGGAAGAAAATCTTTCAAATATCTATCATATTTTATAAAATCTTCATGAGATATCTTTGAATCATATTATAAATTTCTTTATATTAAATTGAGAATATTATGAATCTTAGGGATAAAATTTATTATATATAATAAGGAAGAGATGAGCGGTCGGAAGATGATAATATTGAATAAAATCTATCATATTTGACGAATATAGGATTCAAAATATCTCTTATTCTTTTATAAATTTATAAGAATTGATAGAATTTATTCAATATCTTTCATATTCAAGATCTTTTTAGATTCTATATATCATCCTTTCGGATTTTTTAATTTTCGATTCTTAAATATATCCGAATCTTTGGAAAATCCCTAGATATTGGTCATATATATCAAATTCTATTATCTGAATTCCCAATTATTGATCAATAATATATAATTTCAAATTTTCTAATTTTTCCTATAGCTAGTATTAACCCTATATATCAAAATTTGATCTTATAATACCCAAAGTCGGCTCTAAATATCAGAAACCTACATATATTAATTAATATGAAACTACGATTTAAGCCCCTCATCTATTTAATATATAAATATAATATTTTCTTCTTCTTAGAAATCGGGCAAAAAATCGATAATTTCTTAAATATACATTGAAATATTAAAAGACAAGATCGAAGAACGAAATTAGCTTGGCGAATATATTTTATTAGATATGAAGATATATCTATAGAAATTATATCAAATTGAAATAGAGAAGAATAAAAAATACTATCTAGATAAAATTAGATATTAATTCGAAATATTATGTCGCTCTTATTACTATTCTCAAATATTCTTTCTATCGATATTCTATTAGATAATATAACGAACCTATGAAATTTACGAATATTTCTCAAAAATATATCTTATCTATCTATCCCATCTTTTCCTATTTCACCATCCTATCTTATACGACCTAATCTATTCTACCTATCATCATAGCGAAAATCTTTATCTCTTTCAAATTACTGCAATCACGAAACCTATACGAGATTTAAATCTATAAAATCCAATCGCTCTCTCCTTAATCATTCTTTATTTTCTCTATACCTTTCATCTACGGAAGAAATTACGAAACCTCTCTCTTCTTTTCTATTTATTGCTCTCTCTCTTCTCTTCATTCTATTCTATTTTTCTTCAATATCTTTCTCTTCTTCTCTCTCTCTCTCTCTTTTACGAGCGATCTCTCTTATTATTATTAATTTCTCTATTTCTTTCCGTCTTCGTCTTCTTTTCTCAATATCCTTTAAATACGAATCCAGACGGATCCGAAATAGATACGAACCAAGAATCCGATACGACCCCAAATACTAACCAAATACCGAATCCAGATACGAACCAAACATAACCGGACTCGAACCGGACACGAATCCAGATTCGAACCCAATCACGAACCCGGACACTAACCCAAACACGAACTAGACGTGACCGGAACCGGACACGTAACAAATACGAATCCGGATTCGAATCCAGATACGATCCCAATCGCGAACCCGGACACTAACCCAAAAACGAACTAGACGGGACCAGAACCGGACACGAACCCTGATATACGAATGATACTTGACTTCATTCAAAATCACGCTAGAACCTTCATCAAAAATCTACAGAATTTTGATAGCGCGAAAATATTCCCCTAAAGCTACCAATATTTTGAAGATATTAATATTACAAGATTCCTAAAACTACTATAATTTTCTGGAGTTTGATCCAAAAAAGAAGCGCTCGCGACACTAAAGTTGCCAAGATTTGAATTGCACGAAATAAAACCGTAAAAGAAAATAGAAAAGGACCAACTAACGGAAAGAGTGCAAGAGCGCGCTCAGAACCACAAATGCAACCAGCACGATACCTTTTTCTTAAAGAATATATCGAAGATTTTAACTTGCATATTTAAGAACACTTCATATATACAAATATTCTAGAAACAATCTTATATATATATATACAACTCAGATCCAAAATACATATTCAAATCAGTTATAAACATATAAGAAATGATGATAATATCGTATTTGAATTTCATTTATCTCATTTCGAAAAAAATCTTAAAATTCAGTATTCACATCGGTATTTTGATATCTCTACTTGAAACATTCAAATTGCATGGTCCAGATACCAGAATTAATATGTAAATTAGGGATATATCGAAAAAAAACAATCATATCGTGTATGAGTTCACCACAAGTATATTATGAATACACTGAATATTTGAAGAACTCATTTATAAGTAAAACTATCTTCTGGTTTAAACAAACAGCATAACTTGTATCCCTCAATAGGTTTAAAATAGATTATAGAGGTTTCATACCTTTCAACCTATCTATATCAACGCTCGGGTTCAACTTCTAGGTATCTCCCAATATCTGACAGAGGCAGTTTCAAGGCAGCAGTCATTCTTGCCGTTCAGTTCTGTTGGAAGGCACTGTCCTTGACAAGATATATCTTGTACCCATCACAGTCTGCAAATCCAGCAATGTTCATCCCGAACATTTTCGTGGGGGGCATCAGAACCTTCACCCCCCTCGATTCCAGTGTGGACGTCGCGTCTTCAACATCCTCGGTCGAAACCACCAGATGGTCATATCCTGTAGAGGATCCGACTTCGCTGGCAGTCTGCGTGAGGGTCAGCATAGTTTGCGGGCCAGAAGCAAAGGCAAGAGAAGCCGTACCAGCATCTTCGTCGATCACCTTCATGCCCAGCTGCTCGTAAAAATCGGTAGCATTCCGCAGGTTGCTTGTCTGTAGCCTCAAAGACAGAACGGAGCCTGGAAAGGGGTGATCAAATCTATCAAATCTCTAAACCTTGGGGAGTTACGGAATACAAGGCTCGGGGTGTATCGTTTTACTTGTGTTTTGTTTGTATTTTTTACAAGTCAACTTGTTTTTTTGGGGTGTAGGGTTTGTTGGCAGGGCCTTGCAGGTTTTCTGTGCTTCTATCGGGCTTTAGGATTCTGATAGCCCATGGTCCGCTCTGTGTTGGGTGAAGTTCAGAGATTCTAAGTAGCCCTTTAAAGGAACCCTTATAGTCCCCTTGTAGTAACCCTTTAAAGGAACCCTTAGGGCACCCCTGATTTTTTCAGGGAGCTACATCAGACTACAGGGGCCTTATATTATGAGGCCCATAGTACCGTAAATGTATTAAGGAACCCCCAAAATGGTAAAGGTAATGGTTCAGGCCCCTGTAATAGCGGGTACCCATACTATAGATATCGTAAAGAACCTAGGGAGCAGTATTACTAACCATTCAGGCCGAACGTCCAAAAGCACCTCAGCCACACCAACCGACAATCCCACGATCACACACGCAACAGCCAAAATCACCCCACAACCCTAAACTCCCCAACCCCCCACCAAACCCCAAATCCCACCGGCTTAGGGGTTTTCGGTGTAGTGCCATGGGCACACCCCCCCAAAACACCCAAAATCCGAACCCGCCGACCTTTCTGCCGGCCCTCCGAGAAGGACATCGGGTAGCCATTTGGGTCAACCGTCTCCCCAGGGTCTCCCGAAATAACGAGGCCTGGGAGGCAGAAGTTGAGGGAATCCTGGGGGTTTCAACAGGTTTCAGGGCTCAGGAACCCTCTAAAACCCTGAATCCCTAAACCCTAAACACTAAACCCTACCCTGTTAACCTTAAATCCCTGAACCCCTAAACCCCGAAACGGGTGCAGGGTTGAGAGTTTAGGGTTTCAGAAGAGGCAGAAGAGTTTAGGGCTTCAGGGGGTTTTGTTGAAGGCCCTTTTATGTCTGCGGGAAGAGTGCTGGTAGGTCAAACAAGGGTTTATAGGGTTTAGGGTATATAGGGTTTAGGGTATATAGGGTTTAGGGTATATAGGGTTCAGGGTATATGGGGTTGAGGGTATGAGGTTTCGGATTCAAGGTGTAAGGTTTATGGCTTTGCGGGCTTACCGGGTCGAGGGCTTAGGGTGCAGGTCGGTTGGTGTGGAGTTTGGGCTAGGCTTTCGCCCCGGAACTAACACTGAAACAAGCCGTAAACTCCCGATAACCCAAACGAAACCTCGCCCTGAAACACTGAGACCTAACCCCCCCCCCCCCCCCAGACCGCGTGAATCAGTGAAGGAATTTGCATCACCGGGGCGACCTGCCTTGGAAACCTCCTTGCTGCAGTGGCTTCTCCGGATCCTTCATGGGTTTAGGTTTAGGAGGGGTTCAGGATTTAGGGGTTTGGGATTTAGGGTTTACTCTAAATACGACAAGCTGAACAAAAACACCAAACCCGCCTAATGTCGTGAGCCCCGAGCCCCTCAACTCTGAACCCTAGCCCCACACAGAATATGTTTCATAATTTAGGGCGTGAGGGTTTAAGGTCTGAGGGATTGGTGCTTCAGTGTTAAAGGACAGTCTGTATCACCCAGAGACTCCAATATCCCTTCATTACGGAACCTACCTTAGACTTTCGGAGGACCCCTAAGATGATTCAAGGAATATTCCTAAACCGAAAGGATCTTCGGGCTTCCACACCAAACCCTCAACCCGAAAGCCTTTGGTTGTTATCTAGTAACTTACAGTAGAAGCCAGAAAGTTGGAATATGATTATCTTAACCCCTTCTATGGTAAAATATAGGGTATCCTACCAAGAAACCATATTCCAACTTTCTGGAGTTCCCTTTAGGGTTTTGAGTTGAGGGGTTTGGGGTTTAGGGAGTCTCTGAGTAAGGGCTTTTGGAGCCACCGAGTGGATCAAAGGATTTCGCGGAAAGATGAGGTCGCGTGCCTAGGCTCGTTGATGATGGATAAACAAAGCATTACCTTAAGGATCCTAGACTCTGGGAATTATGGCATATTCTTTATTTTGGGTAAGGCAGGATTTGCTTCATCAGCCATAGGATCCTTCTTTGGAAAGTGGCGTAACATGGGGTTGTTGATAATGTGAGTATGGTTTTGGGGCATGTTGTAAAAGTGTAGCATATTCATCAGCAGGAGCCAAAGAGCATAAGATAAGCACTGATTACGGCTTCTGTCTTACAGGCAACAGGGCTTATTCCCGGTAGCCTTTTCCAATGAGTCCTTTGCTGCCTCTGTAGGTCTTTTCTCTGAGATCTGTGGTGGGTTTTGCTGTTTGTTGCTTGCTTTTGGAAGGCTTTGAGCCAATCGATGCTCATATGTCAGTTCCGTGCAGTCCTTGGCCTTGTTGTAGGGTCTGAATAAAACCCCTCATCCTGAATAGGGGGCCGATGACAAGCAAGGTATGGTAGTTTCAGGACAGCCTTGTAAAACCCGGAGAACCAAGAAATCGGTCCTTCGCGGACGCTAGCTCCAAAGCGAAGTTTTCCTTGTCGCGGAGCTCACCCGCGCCCACAAAGGCAGTGCCGCCACCGCTTGGACGTCGATTGCAGGACAACGTGCGAAGTCCCAAAGCCTTCACAACTGCCGGGGTTTCCCTAAACCCTATAAATCCCAATCCCGAAATCCTAAACCGCAAACCCCTGACACAAAACCGCAATTCAAAGGTTCAACAAAGCCTAGGATGCACGGATGAGAGTTTTGGGCTGCCTGGTTTGGCGTATTATGCTGGGAAGGTACTTGCTGAAACTTGGTGTTCAGGGCTTATGGGTTAAGGTCTGCTTGGAGGGGCTGGGACCTGCGAATTCTAAGTACGATCGCAGCCAGGGCTTGCAGGAGTTCTTCGACATCGGGGCTCCTTCCCAAACAGAAATAGCCAGCTCTTCTCTTTTATCGGCGCTTTCACTACGAAAGTGTGCCGGCAGGGAGCCCAGTTCAGAACAGCCGACTGAATAGTCCCCGCAGCCCTGAACCCTGAACCGTTGGATTTCGGGGGGGTTGCTGTTGAGACACTGAGGTCGGTCACACGGAACTTAGTAAACTCTACCCAGAAAGCCCCAAGCTACAGCAAGAACACGACGCCCAACGATCCCGTCAGCACAAAACCCCAAACCTCAAAAGCGAAAATGCTCCGGGCTACGAATCCTGCGGCTTCGTTCTCAACACGACGCCTCTGCTTGATATGGGTGGTTGTCAAAATTATGGTCCCTTCTTGGGTACCCTAAATATTAGGTGCCGTACTACATCAGCGACCCAAAAAGGAACCATAATTTTGACAACCACCCATATTAAGGCCTCCTGATCGCCCTTGTCCGCCGCTGATGGGAGCAATACAAAAACGAGCGCGCAACGAGATGTTCAGAACTTGGGGACCCCTCCTGAAGCAACCCCTTAAAAAAGACTCCTTAAAGGACCGCTCCTAAGCAGCAGCATCCTTCAGACAAGGACCTGCGGGTCGGGAGCAACATCACAGAACATGTACTGTGAAGGGTTTTAGGGATAAAGTAAAACCGTGTGCCACGTAAAAAAACCTAGAAGTCCTGCTTCTCGACCCTCCCGCGTCCTCGTAGAATGCCAGCGAGTCATCGAGGTCGCGAATGTGAAGCATGGCATGCCTCAAACCCAGTGAGGGTTGCACTTAAGGGTTCCCGGTCTAGGTTTCCACTGATTTTTGTGAGGGCTTTGGGAGGGGGTGAGAGGGTTTTATCGATTTTCCAAGGGCTCTACATGGGGCTTGGATATGTAGAGTTCGGGAGTGCAACTCTTGTGTACATGCAGATATGATGCGTGAAACATAGATGAGAGTCCGCAGAAGGGATCCTCAGTTGATCACAGCTTTCACCATCTATGCCACACTCTTTGGGCACTTCAACTTTGGTGTCAAGTTTAGACCTTGGAGCAAAGCCCCTGAATCCTTTGTGAAGGGGCCTCTGGGGGTTTCATATTGGGACCCTAGAAGCCAAAACCATAAACAGCAGACCTTACATCTTTAATGCTGAAGGTCCCATGTGGGTGGTTGTCAAAACTATAGTCCCTTTTTGGGTACACTAAATTATAGGTGCCGTATTCTAATAGGGACCCAAAAAGGGATCCTAATTTTGACAACCACCCATGTGTAGGAGAGACCCCAGCCTCGATACACAAGTTCAAGCACATGCATGTACGAAGGCAATGTAGAGGTCCGGCTAATTCGTACTTTTTCTCCCTTTGATAGCGATGCTACAATGATGCACCGGGCCTATTCTAATAATGAAGATCCCCTGTAGGACTCCAGGCTAGTGCCACCAGGGTGCAGCATCTTGTTCTGACTGAAATCTGCCGCGGCACGCTGTATCTTTGACTCGCTCCTCCTAGTACTACCGAAGAAGCCTGGAGGCGTGCGAACCTTGCCTGTAGAGCCCACTGTAATTCATATAGGGTCTGAATTCTGAATACTTCCCAGTGGCATCCAGTGTAACCCTCAATATAGAATGATCATACTACACATACCCCGAAATCCGGTTCTGGAAATTGACGCCCCGTAGTATTAACCTTTCAGGATACAGGAGTGTAAGGTTTAGGAGGAACTCTTGTAAATAGAGGAACCTCCCACCGCCCTAGCAGAACCCAGGATCCACGGGTCCTGGGAATCCTGTCCTTCGCACATCGCCGAAGTGCCAGCTGGGCAGCGAAGGTTGCGAGCACCGCCGAGCCAGAGAACCGGGCAGATGGAAAACAGGGGCTCGATGTCTTTGCAGCCACCTGCGAGACGTAATAAACCCATGAAGCCTGCAAGCTCAGAGTAGTTGGGCTTAGGGCTTCGAGGGTTGAGGCCTTGAGGCTTCAAGATTGAGTTCCTTGAAGTTGGTGAATGCATGTTTAATGCTTGAGGTCTGATGGTTTAGTGCTTTGGGGTCTACTTGGAGGTTCATGGGCAGTTATACGTTGGGTTATAAGTCCCCTAATACGGGTTATAAGCATGGTTACCCTACTTATAACCCTACTTGCAACTACCCATGAACCTCCAAGCAGGCTTCTGGGCTTATCGGGTGTCAGGGTCTAGTGCTCCACCTCTTTTTTAGGGTCTGTATGTTTCGAGGCTTGAGGCT